ATGCATGATGGAAAGTGGCTGTGGAGAGTGCCATGGCTACAAAAGCAGTCAGTGTAGTCTCCATCCAAATGCAGAAGCATATTGTCCAATGATTAAAAGTCACCTAAGGATTTCAGGCCTGTGAACAAACAGTAGATTAAGAGAGCATACACAGAGGGACACTACTATACAACGTGTTCGTAACGGTATCATCCATCATTAATGAATTCTCATTAGACCGTTTGCACTGTGGTGGGACTGCTGGTAACATATTATGTACAGTATCTGGGATTTTTCAACTGAGTTTTGAGTCATCTGCTGGAGAGCTAGAGCACATCACAGAAGCGTTTGAAACGATTAACATCTGAGATGTTGTTGAACATCTGGGACTCTCTAGTCTCAGTAAGGTGCCAACCACCAGTAGACGTATAAAGGTTTAGACCAGGGGTCGGCAACCTGCGGCTCCGAATCCGCATGCGGCTCTTTACAGACTGCTTCGTGACGTAATGTATGTGTGTGTGTATGTATTCACATGCATTGCGGCTTTTGAAATATTGAGTTTTGTACCAAATTCGAAACAAAATGGCTCTTCTTGGTATTTTAGTTGCCGACCTCTGGTTTAGACAAATGAAACCGCTACAATAAAATCAGGGTGGTGCAAAGTGTTTGTGTGTATAATTATATTTATGGAGCTCCAAACTGTTGTTTAATCGTAATTCTCTAATAATGAATTATATATTTATGGGCACCTGATGTATCATAATATATCTCCTGATTATAAACCTAACACTTCCAGTTTCTTACAAGAAAAATATATCAAACCTGATGTATACCCTTAAATGGCTAAACTACTAATTAAACTAATTTGTATTTTACCAGGTAAGGTCCATTGAGCTATATGGCTCTTTATCAGAAAGAAGTTCAACATACATATATACAGTGAGGGAAAAAAGTATTTGATCCCCTGCTGATTTTGTACGTTTGCTCACTGACATAGAAATGGTCAGTCTATAATTTTAATGGTAGGTTTATTTGAACAGTGAGAGACAGAATAACAACAACAAAATCCAGAAAAACGCATGTCAAAAATGTTATAAATTGATTTGCATTTTAATTAGGGAAATAGGTATTTGATCCCCTTTCAATCAGAAATATTTCTGGCTCCCAGGTGTCTTTTATACAGGTAACGAGCTGAGATTAGGAGCACACTCTTAAAGGGAGTTCTCCTAATCTCAGCTTGTTACCTGTATAAAAGACACCTGTCCACAGAAGCAATCAATCAGATTCCAAACTCTCCACCATGGCCAAGACCAAAGAGCTCTCCAAGGATGTCAGGGACAAGATTGCAGACCTACACAAGGCTGGAATGGGCTACAAGACCATTGCCAAGCAGCTTGGTGAGAAGGTGACGACAGTTGGTGCGATTATTCGCAAATGGAAGAAACACAAAAGAACTGTCAATCTCCCTCAGCCTGTGGCTCCATGCAATATCTCACCTCGTGGAGTTGCAATGATCATGAGAACAGTGAGGAATCAGCCCAGAACTACATGGGAGGATCTTGTCAATGATCTCAAGGCAGCTGGGACCATAGTCACCAAGAAAACAATTGGTAACACACTACGCCGTGAAGGACTGAAATCCTGCAGCGCCCGCAAGGTCCCCCTGCTCAAAAAGCACATATAGATGCCCGTCTGAAGTTTGCCAATGAACATCTGAATGATTCAGACGATAACTGGGTGAAAGTGTTGTGGTCAGATGAGACCAAAATGGAGCTCTTTGGCATCAACGCAACTCGCCGTGTTTGGAGGAGGAGGAATGCTGCCTATGACCCCAAGAACACCATCCCCACCGTCAAACATGGAGGTGGAAACATTATGCTTTGGGGGTGTTTTTCTGCTAAGGGGGCAGGACAACTTCACCGCATCAAAGGGACGATGGACAGGGCCATGTACCGTCAAATCTTCGGTGAGAACCTCCTTCTCTCAGCCAGGGCATTGAAAATGGGTCGTGGATGGGTATTCCAGCATGACAATGACCCAAAACACACGGCCAAGGCAACAAAGGAGTGGCTCAAGAAGAAGCACATTAAGGTCCTGGAGTGGCCTAGCCAGTCTCCAGACCTTAATCCCATAGAAAATCTGTGGAGGGAGATGAAGGTTCGAGTTGCCAAACGTAAGCCTCGAAACAGTAATTGCTTGGAGAAGATCTGCAAAGAGGAGTGGGACAAAATTCCTCCTGAGATGTGTGCAAACCTGGTGGCCAACTACAAGAAACGTCTGACCTCTATGATTGCCAACAAGGGTTTTGCCACCAAGTACTAAGTCACGTTTTGCAGAGGGGTCAAATACTTATTTCCCTCATTAAAATGCAAATCAATTTATAACATTTTTGAGATGCGTTTTTCTGGATGTTTTTCTTGTTATTCTGTCTCTCACTGTTCAAATAAACCTACCATTAAAATTATAGACTGATCATTTCTTTGTCAGTGGGCAAACGTACAAAATCAGCAGGGGATCAAATACTTTTTTCCCCTCACTGTACATACATACAAGTAATGGACTGCCTGCAACACAACATCTACCTAGGATATGAAGCGATGAAATCAGTTCTAAACTAACTATTTTTATTTTACCAGGTAAGGCTCAATGATCTATATCGCTCTTTTTTCAGAAGTGATGTGGCCACAAACGATAGCTCAAGAGAGTGGCTTACAATGTGGAAATGTATGGTGTCCAACTACTCTTTAAAGCTTGTTTCTAAATATGGAGTGAAAAACTGAAAGAACCCTGAGGAAAATACGCGTGACCACGGGGAGAACATGCGAACTCCAATATTCAGGGTCATGATAGAAGCCACGACCTGTGTACCAGGCAGTATGGTTATCATCATGGCACAGTGGCACCACAAAATGAACCTCATATAGTACTGCACTTTTTGATAGACATGTTAATGTCAAGAGTCTTCATTAAATAGCATATTTGTTCCAATTACGCAAATTGGTCCTCATTTGTATAGATATTGTTATGACTCAATATGTTACAAATTTTCCCTAAACGTTCAAACCCTAACCCTGTAATTACCCAAACTACCTAGCTGTTGTAGGAACAATTAATTGTTTTTCGTAGAATTTTTACAAAATCTGTAAATTGAAGATTTCAGTTACAACATGTCCACATTAGTGGTGGAATGTAATTAAAACAGTAATGCTTTATTCACTGCAACTGATCTGACTTTCTAGTGGGACTTGGAAAACAACTCTGACTCGTGTTGCTGATGAAAATAGACGTGACCTTTATCTCTTGTTTTCATGGAAACAAGTGGGAAGGGTCTTACCCATCCTTTTTTCCATTGAAATGCAAATTAATTTTGACTTCATGGAAATTGAAGCCTTAAACAAGCCCCTATATAATCCTTATGATGTGCTGCAGTTTTTCAAAAGTGGAGGAGTGATTATACCGCAAGCTTGTCACTCATTAAGCATCGCTGTTATAACGTCATGTGTTGAGGGCACATGAACTGAGGCTTTTTTTTTACCTCATCTCAAAGTAGATCTCGATATAGCCAGACCGATCTAAAAAAGCCTCTTATGTTCACCTGATGTATCAGATTCATGGTGCACCAGACACTGCCCACCAAATAACTTCCAGCAATATAAATGGGTAATGCGCAGTTAGTTGTTTAGCAGTTTTTTTTCCATGGTGGGTTAAAGTTCAGGTACTTCCGCTGTTACCAAAACTCAATATTTCAGGAGCCGCAATGCATGCAAATACATACACACACACACACATTACGTCACAAAGCAGTCCATAAAGAGCCGCATGCGGCTCCAGAGTCTCAGGCTGCCGACCCCCTGACCCAGTGAGAGGCCTTTTTGCCAGCACCTATGAACATCTTGGAGCGGAATATGTTGTAAATTAAATGTCATGCATATTTGAAGTTTGCATGTTCTCCCCATGGTCGCGTGGATTTTTTTTTACCAAATCCTCTGTTTTTTCCCCTCCACATTTAGTATCAACATGCGTTTAGAGTATTTATTTGAGGACTTTCAATTTCCGCATGATAAGCCACTCCAGACATATCATTTGTGGCTAGGTTGCTTCTGAATAAGAGCTATAAAGAAAGCTCAGTGGGCCTTATCTGCTGAAATAAAAATAATTTAGTTCATAATTCAGCATGTACATAATTTGTTATGTTTATCAGTGCACATATTTTCACGTTTTGGCTTGGAGTTTTTGTAGTGTTTTATGAAATAAATGTCCTTGAATAACATAATCTTAATTTAGTATTTTAACATCGAGTAAAAACATGAATGTGTACCTTCGTATTAGTTAAAATATTTTAGTGAGTATCTTTGCTTTATATTTTGCCTCTCGCACTTTAAAATGCTCAAACATTATTTTGTTAACTGGAACTCTTGTATTTGTAGCTATTTATTCTGTCCACTTTATGTTACCTTTTTCTTCAATGTGACAAATTTAATTACACCTACATTTACATTGTTACCACTATCTTCTGACAATATATTGTGGTGCAACTTTAATACAAGGACATTGCCTTGAAAGGACACTTGCTGGTATCATTGTACAGTTTTTGATTTTCCCATTTGCGTTTGGGCTTCTAACAGTGATGATTTGACAGCGCTGTGCTATGCAGCACTGGGAAAAAATGCATTCAGTGGCTCCTAGGCCCCAGAGAATCTCTCTGAGCTCATTTCCTTACGGTCAGGAAAACAATCGGCTAAAATAAACAACTAGCAGGAAACGGAAAGCGAGTAAGTCCCTTACTCAGCGGACGCTGTGATTTATGGTGTTTTTGTCGGATTTTATTTTTGGGAGGCCAAAAAAAAAAAGATTTAAAAACTGTTTGTCCCCTGTACAGTGTTACAGCACAGACAATAATGCCTCCCAAAAAAGTGGGTGCATGTACTTGAAATGCTTTTGTATAATTGCCGCACTCATTCAATATTGTTCCAATTGTCCTTTGACGTATTTGCGTATATGCGTGTTGGTTACTTTTTCAGGGAAAGCTGGTGAAGTACTTCAGTCGGCAGCTGTGCTGCAAGCAGAGCATCTCCAGCGCAGAAAGAGACCCTCGGCTGGAGGAGTTCCCGAGTCTCCACCACTGGCTGCGAATTGTGGGTCTGCACGGTCACGTCATGCAGGTAAAGGGAGTACCTACCATTGATTGGGGCTGTGACATGGCCGAGTGCGAGCACGTCTGTTGCTGGCTGGGTGCAGAGGTTCGCGGTTCGAGCCCCAGGGTGTGCCCTGGTTAATACTGCGAGTGTACGAACTATATATATGTAAAAAAAAAATACATGCTGTGAACCTAATTTTACATCACTTCCTGCTGTTTGTGATCATGCCTTTTGTGTGTTGTTATCTTTGTGTGCTTCACGGTGAACGTTACAAAAACCTTGTGATATTTAAAAAGAGTTGGCCATACGTGCCACTGTCACGGTACAAATTTGTCAAAGCAATTCTGACATATTGAATTGGAAAACACATAGGAACATCACCCGTCAGTGCACAACTTCGCAGGATCCTTTAAAAAAAATCTTGAGACTCAATGAGGCTTTCCAGTACAAATACATTTATTAAATTATATTGTTTTTCCGAATATAAATAAGCCTCACATGTGAACATAAGCTATTCCAAGACTCAAACTTGGCATGTCTCTTTAACCATGTTTTATTTTGGTAAGCGGTAGCTTCTTAACAAAAAGGAATTTCCAGCTGAAGGTGAATGAAGGCACTGTTGTGTTGTGATGCAGTGTCAAACACTTGTGAAATAAACCAAGTGAACAATCGGGTTTAATTGTAATCGCATTTGCGGTCATATTAAATTTTTCAACTGCACCTGGCAGGCATTGTGAAGGTAGTTTTCGGTGATGAGCACATTACGTGCTTTTGGGAATGAAAAATGTACAATATGGTACGTTCTTGGCAGCCAAATGATCACACAAACAAGACAATACAAAGAGTCGAACTCCGTTTATATAATGCATTGTTTGGGAAACTGCTTACGTGAAGTGGGAAATGTAAATTATTTGTCATCCTTCCCATCAGAACATCGGAAAGGTTTAAAACGAGAGGAGGCCATTCGGTCCATCTCGCCCCTTCGGACAGGAAACCACAGCCAAATTGGAAGGCAGCTAAAAACATGAACCAATCATTTCCAAAAATCTGTGGTCTTCCAGTAAGAGGGATATTTACAATGTGGTCTAGTCTAGGGCACCCCAGTGACAGCTGTGCGCACGTCTGCCAGTAGGGGGATCGTTCTATGTATAATCCCAATTGAGTAATTTGTAGGTGATTTTTGTGATTTGGCATATTTGCTCCATGACGCCATCACACAATGGTCTACTCTTGTGAATGAACGTCACGGGATCTCTAGCTTCTCCTGTGAAGCAGATGGTGAGTATTTTTTTCATGGTTAATAAACCCGCAGCCATTGGATTCAAACCTTGAACACGCCTACTTCTAGACCATGTTACCACCCCGTGAATCATGATGAGTAGTGAATGTCTGGTGAGTGTCAGGTGAGTGGTGAATGCGTTGAGTGTTTGAGTGGTGAGGGTCTACGGACTGTGAGATGTTTAGTGTCTGGTGAGCATTAGCTTAGTGTAAAGTGAGTGATGAGTGTCAGGAGAGTGGTTATTGCAAGACCGAGGCACTCAGTGGCGAGAGCAAAGCTAGTTCTAATCAATGCCATAATATATAACAAATCAAATCAATTTTAATAACTTAACAGTCTTTATCAATACACTGCTGGATGAAGGCCTTCCCATATTGTATTAATCATGGGGGTTGTTTGATCATGTGTTGGTGAAGGGGGGGGGGGGTCTAAGACACCAGTTCAGACATCACTGATTTTAGGCATGTCCAGGAATTGAACTCAGCCAGGATCACAGCACACAGTGTGCTAACCACTCCGCCACCCCAAAATATACATATTACAATCCACTGCTGGATGAGGGCCTTGTGCCGCGTTGATCGTGGAAGTTATTTGCCCATATTTCTTCACACTGGTCAGTGCGGTGAAGGTGTGGAGCATAGACGTTGGGAGCATCAAAGTACAGTGAAAAATGGATTTTGCTGCATTGCCCTGAGTTGCTCCCAACATAAACTCGACGCATCATTTGTCCTGCATTCTTCTTTCGTGTGGCTTGTATAGAGAGACTATTAGAAAATCGGTTGTATTTACCCATTCAATTGCTTGGTCTGAGAGTTGGTTAACTGCGGATACACCACCTTTAAATTATATAACATTAGCGACTGGGATTTTGCTGTAATAATTGTAGAATGCACATTTAAAGCATTGCAATGTATTGTGAAGTATAAGACACTGGAGCTGTGTAATTGAGAAGTAAAGAAGCCACTTGAAATGAGCAGAATGCTAAGTGATGTGGAAGCATACTTTCGTTGCTGTTGCACAATACAGGATTCCCAGAGGTTTCAAACACACCGCTAGTTGAAAGTGGGACTCCAGAAATCAATTACACGCTCTCAGGGTAAATCTGCCAATGCTATTTTGGTTTGTGCTGGGAAATATTTACACTTCTGCGACTACGAAAAGCAGAACTTTGGGGAATGTGGGCACGGTGCATCTTGTTGCATCAAACCTTGCCACCACGGTCTGCTTGCTCAATGTGTCCTCACTGCGTTGTTCCTAAAGCAGCCCCCTTTTACACAAGTGCAACGGCTTTATGTAGAACTATTCTTCAAGTGCATAATGCATTGGTTGAGTGCCGCCAGTATTTGCACCTTTTGACAGTGATGCACAGTGCAATATAAACATGGTTTTCGCGCTAAAGTGGTTTGCTGACTAAAATGGTGAATCGGTTCCTTTTTTATTCATATATATTTTTTGTTATCGATTAATTGCCAGTCATTATAAAATGGTGGACACAGGGTATCCAGCTGCCAAATTGTGGGAAACTCATCGAAGCACAGCGCCCCCAGTATGACGCGGTGACCGCTGCATGGTGATGGTGATGGTGATAAATGATGATTACGATGGTGGTGTGATCCCAGCGATTATATTCTGCACTCACAACAAGTTTGAGCCTCTTGCATATAAATGTGGAATTAAGCATGCCAATGATATGGAACGTTTCATGCTAATGTTTGAATTGTGCCATTGACGCAATAGTCAATAGATTATTCGGCTATTTCTACAGTTGATATCTGCAGTCCTACTCTGTTTACAGATGCTTCCGTTGTTAGAGCAGGTAGGTATTGTTTCCAGGAAATATTTGTTGCAGTATAACATGTTTGTGTGCACGTACACTTTTCCTGTTTCGTTTGGCTTCCGCATTTAACGACAGCGTTGATAAACACATCCAGAAAGCACAGAACAGGGAACACGAACTAAAGTATGCATGTGCAACTTGGAAAACTTGATAACGCGCACGTATTTTTTTAAAGGTATACCATTCTTGTTTCCTTTAAACACATTGCAATCCACTCTTGAACATGTGTAATTAGTCTTTAAAATATATACGGTTCCTGCAAAGTGTCCTGAAATGAAGTCGCATATAGAACCTACATTAGTCAAACATTTTTGTTTACATCCAAAAAATTGTATTTCTATGCAAGGAAACCCATTATTGAGCATGCTATCTGAAACACACTGTTGGGGGGGACCTTTCGTTGCAGGAACTATTGTCTGAAGGAGACCTTTCTCTGGAGTGCCTCCTACCCATGACAGAAGAAGAAGTGCGGGAGACTGTGAAGACATGCGGAGGCAGTATGGAAGAGTGTGCCAGGCTGATTGCTGCCCTCACTTGTCTACGCAATGCCCACCAGTGTGGTAATTTGAGCCACCCAGTATGTGTTTGTCACATGCTGGCTTTTGCTTTGCCTTTTTATGGCGCTTAGCGCCATAAAAATAATGTGGAATGTTAGAACCTTCTGTCTGTGGCAGTTTGCATATGTTTTATGATGACTCATTTATATTGTAGCAGCTTTTGAATTATCTTGTAATGTTTTGATGGAGTCCAGTTAAATGTCCTGTCAAGTGAAGCAAGGAGCATTAAAGGATTTGTTATGTAATAAACGTCAGCCAAGTTTTATTGGTTCTAAAATCAGCCTGTTTGTGACATTCCTCTGTTGCCAGTTTGTTATACAGCTGCAAGCTTTGCAAGATAAACTAAGCCAATGTTCATTTTCAACATAAAGATTTGCAATCTCTATTAACCACTATAACTTTTAATGAAACCCACAACATACGGTGCATGCACTTTATTGTGTTAATGCAGGTGCACAGTGTAAAAGACACCATATAGTTAAAACTTGAATCTAAAATCATAGTTGTAATTTTGGAAATGTGAATTCTTACAATTTCAGTGTGTATAGCATTTCTGAAAAAATGTAGACGTGGATTTTTTTCAAAACAAAAATCATTGGCAAGTAAAACCGGTAAGGCACAGGACAGTGTGAAAATTGGAGTCGTATTCACATGTTGGCAGAATGGGAGGAACACTGCCATTATGTTCTGAATATTTAGCTGTTTTTATGCTCAACAAACTAAAAGTGCCCTTGAGATTTATTTTCGTGCATTTGAATTAGCCCGGCAGATTCAGTCGTAATGTTTGAGAATAATTATTGGGCACTTCATGACCTCAAAGGGTCTTGCACTTTTAAGCTGTACGACCAACTTATCCAAGTTGTTGCCTCTCTAGTTAACACAAGGACTGTTAAATGCTGGAGCTGAAATTTGTAGTCACCTTGTACCTGTATTTGTCTGACGCGGTCCGGTTTATTTTTGTTTAAACATTTCCTTTCAAGGCGGCAGCGACTCCAAGCAGGAGTGGGTAATCTCTTGGCCCACGAAGGAATCTCCCACAACTTCGGGCTCCTCCCCGGAGGGATCTCAGCGTTCGTCGCGTGGCGAGCTGCCGCCCCTGCCGGCCTCAGACTCGGGCATCCATGACGACTGCGGGCAGGTCGACGCGCTTGCCTCCTTGCCGTCCTCACCCAGCTTGATGCGGGGCCGCCGCCTGCCCACGCCCACGCCGCCAGAAACCCCACCGCTCAGCGACACCATGGCCACGCCGCCCTCGTCGTCCACGCCGGCAACGCCCGCGACCCCTCCGCCGCCCCTGGGCGTGAAGAACAAGAGGTCGAAGGTGAGGAATGTAAGTGTCAGTTTTTTTTTATATATTTGTTCTTCGTGCACGTTAAAGGCGACTGCTGCTCTGAACTGTGTGTATGTGTGTGTGTGTTGTGTTTGTGTGTATGACTGCCAGTCATCTCAGTCCGTCAACCCATGGCACCTGGGTCTGCCCTGTGACCTCTTGCCAGCGGGCTTTCGACTCTTCACATGGCCTTAAAGTGCACATAGCCTGGCACAAATGCGGTCGTGACATCACCACCAAGTAGTGGTGAATGGTGGTTGTTGTTGTGTTAGATTCTTCTCTATTCTTGTGTATGGCAATATACTAAGGAGCTAGAGGCCAATGTCGAGCTCTGCTAGCCGTTAAGGGGTTTCGGAGAGAGTTAGTGTAGTTTTGTTATTCGTCCATTGAAGGAGCTCGAATTGTAGTGGTTTACTATATGGTCCATAATTCTGGTTGCATGGCCACAGTTGCTCTCCTGTGACTTGTGTCTTTGATCTTCCATTTATGAGGGAGATGTGCGCAGCAGTCTGTTGATGTTCTGATGTGCTTGTGTGTAAGATAAAATAGAGGGGTGCACATAATTGGTTGATGGGTTAGAAGTGTTAAATGATGACCGAGATAGTTAACGTTAATTTGATTTGTCTGATCTTGGGTCGATTGGTTATTAGGTTTGTAACGATTCATTTATTCATCATGTACACTTGATTTGTTTTCTTATGACAGATGGTAGGATTAGGGCAGATCGTTGAGGTATCTTGGATTCTACAGCAGTATCTGACAGGGTAGAAAGCATTGATGAGGTGTGGTAACATCAGCGGCTTGATGACATCCTGATCTTGATAAAATCGTGCGTGTGTAAGATTGATCTCTTCTCACATACTGTGTATGCAGATGATCTCTTCTCACATACTGTGTATGCAGATGATTCACTTGACACCCTACAGTCACTAATGGTGCGACACTCGCTGCGATGTAACAAAAAAATAATTGATTCGCAACCCCAAATCGTAACTGTTGATCAAGTAGTGAGTGGGACGAAGCCTTGCATGCCTGATGAACTGCCTGACCGTGCGAGGCTGCATTTGTTGCGATTGTGTATGGCTACAAAACACTTTAAATGGATGTCAAAAAATATAAATGGATGCCAAGGGAACACTTGATGTGGCATTGAGGTGTAATGACAGACCGGCATTGTGAGAAAAGAGAGTGATTTTCAGTCAGAAAAAAGTGGTTCCATACAACTAATAATAGCTGTAAACAATTTTCTTTTTGCATAATACATAAAAACGCTTTGCTTCCTACTGACACCTGCAATAAGGGTGTGTGCACAATATTCCATTGCTATGCACTGCCAAAATCAAGAGCCTGGTTTTAAAACCTTCAATGCCACAGCCAAGGTCCTCTCGAACAAGCCTGCAATCATCCGTGCACGCTAATTTTCTCAATTGCAAATGATCCATTACAATTCTTGAAATGTTTGCTTGTCTCTGTGCTATCCACAGGGTTAGTGAGCACATGTTTGAGCACAGCATTGAACAAAGTGGATGACATAATCCACACTAGATGAACACCGGTCCACCAAAATAATTTTGATTTCTGCGCTGACCCCACCTACACATTCCCTTGGAGTCATACACATTCTTAAACAGTCTGCTCTTCTTATGTACAATAACATAATGATCTCGCGATTCTCATCGGGTTTCTCAGCAAACAAGTCATGATTAAAGTCTGCTAAATAAATGCACAAACATCCTCCCCATGTACCAGCTCTCCTCTATTGCTTGCCTCTGTCTGCTCTAAACCCACATTGGATATATTTCCTTAATTGGGATTGGCGTCTGACACTTAAATGCGCTCGTTCTTTCATCCTATTCAGCAAAACTCTATTGAACATTTTCCTGGCATACTCGAGACACATCTCCCTTTACTTTTTCCACATATCAAACCTTATGTTAATGTATTTTCTCCAATCCCTGGTGGTTTGTTGTATGGTAGATTAGTGAGCAGTAGCTATTCCTCTCCTGATGTTTGTGAATGCCATTGGCTGCTCGTGATGCTTTGATTGCCCAGGTCCCACTACCCCAGAGTTCTTCACGAATTTTTGGAGGGTAGGGGCGGGCACTTTGGTCGTTAAGACACATCGTTGTGAGGTCCACCATTGGTTTTGACGGCATGATGGGGTATTTTCACATTGTGTTTTGTCGGGGGCCGAACCAAAGGCCACCAGGGGCCAGCAGTGGCCAGCGGGCCTTGCAAATGAAGAACACTGCACTACCCTGATACTTCTAGTAGTTTCTCTGCCTTTGATGATGCTATAATTACCCATGGTCCTGCTTCCCCGTTGTGGTATTGTTGTCACAACTGTAGACTCATTTGCCTTTCAGGATGCTATGATTAACACGGGGGAGTCCCAAAATCCTCTTTTGGGTGTGATATTCTCTTCTGGAAGTCCATAATCTGCCCAGGTTTTTGTGCTACATTAAGGATCCTGTAACACAAGACCATATCCTCTTTAGTCTCCCCCGTTTAAGTGAACACCCTACTCATGCTGCCCATCTTCTGGAATGGCTACAGTATTTGATTTAATATACATATTCTGTCCATCACAGAGTATATACATTAAATCAAATACTGCGACAACTGCTCCGTATTGTCAATGTCCTCAGTCGCTCATCCTTCCATGGTGCACATCCTTCAGTATTTTAGATTATATTTGTAATTCTTTGTAATTCTTACATGACTGACTAATTGGGCCATATTTCCATCTGGGGAATGGAGAATTTTCACTTTTATCATTGCAACTCGAACGATTCTATCCTTGCTTTATCTGTTTTTTTTTATTAATTGCCAAAGATACATTTCTGTGCAGTGCTGTTGGGAATACCATTCTACTCACAACTTTCATGTTCAGTCTACACGTTAATACCTTGTTCTTCCAGAAATGTGTGTATATATTTTTGAAGCTACTCCTCCGTCGCTAGTCTCCCCCTCATCTCTTTTGACGAGAAAATGTGCTTAAAACAAAGATCTACTGGTAACGTCTGCACGTCTGTGCTTTTATTAGCAAGCGTTGGCAGGCGAGGCACAAAGTCTCCGAAAGCTCTTTAGTGACGCTTGTGCCGCACCGCTTGCCGAGTGATTTAACTTAAGGTGATTTGATTTGAAGATGCGGCCACCTGGCACACCCCCGCCACCGGTGTCACGCAAGCTGGTGCACCTCCTCCCCGGCTTCCAGACCTTGCATCGCAGCAAGTCGCACGAGTCTCAGCTCGCGAACCGGATAGAGGACGTGGCCAACATGCGGTAAGCCGTCTTGCTGGTGGTGCTGCTTCCGCCGCCGCCATCATCTCTCGCGCGGGGATTTGCTTTGTGTGCGCCCAGCTTTCTCATGCCAACGGTATGCGTCACTGGACATGGTGCGCTGCTATAATTGAAAGTGTCCGCCCCCCCCCCCATCGAATAGCATGCTAATAAGCACAGTTTGGTTACTTGTTACAGTATTTAAATACATCTTGTTAAATTCAGCCTTGTATATTTTAAATTTCAAATTTACATTTCAGTTTTGTTCCTCCAGTGTACAAAAACAATGCGTTTGCAATCTCTTTTTGAAAGATACAGTGAAATCAAATGATACAGCTTTCAAACCCTTGCAGCTATTCATTTTGTAGGAAAAATGTGACACACCGGTGTGCTGTACTAGTAACGAATTGGCATGTTCTGTTTACGTGACAAACCTTACTAGTTGACTGTGTCGGGTGTTGACGGTATTAACAACACATTCATATTTACGCGATCTAACTATAAAAAAACCTATATTATGAATGTTTTTTCTGCTCTACTCCAGATTTAGCGTAGATGTGTGAATTGCATATTCTTTTAAATAACATGTTTTTGAAGATCCATAAAATTATTAATATTACATAATTGCAGCATTACAAAAGTGTATTAGTTCATGTGCTGGTTTTCATGAGTTCAGCGTTTCCTCTGGGTACACCTTGTTGTGGTAGGTGTTACGTCAAGTTTGTGGTTATTGTATTCTGAGGCCACGCGAGTATTGTGTGCTGGTATTATATTTTGTATTGCTTTTGCGAAAACTGTTGCTAGATTATACAGCCACATCAGCACTAGAGGGCAGCACGGGTTCATTTAATTGACGTAGAGTTATTTAAAATAGACTACTTCAGTGATATTTAAAAGAAAATTGTCAGAAGGTGTTTTAACATGTGTCCAGCACACACATACCCAATTGTAGTGTAACATATATTTAAGGTGACTTTTGTGGTAACAGGCTAGCGTGTCCATTTACTGATAAGATTATACGATTACTGCGGTGTGAAATGCATTGTGAAAAAAATACAAAAAAAATCAAGCTGTGTTGCTCATTGCTTGGCTTATATTCAAGTGACAACGAATGTTAAATTCTTCCTTTCCTCCTTTACATGCGCATCTACTTATCTCCTTCCCTCCCTTCCCCCCCAAAAAACACTATCAGGGGTTCCAAGAAGGCGCGCCCTTTCCTGAACCCGGCAATTCAGGGTGGAGCGGGGAGCTGCGACAACTTGCCCGTGCATCCGCGTGTTCCAATAAACCCTGCAGAGCGGCTGGCACGCCAGGCTTGTGGCTGCGCCCCTTACACGCCCACAACCCCACCCATCTCGGACGATCCTCCCCAGAGTAAGGCCACTCCAGCCCGAATATTACTGTTCTATACACGTAACGACGCTTCACCTCTTAGTAACGTGCGTTGAGGTAATGCTTGCGAGAATTAATTATTCACTTTGTAAAATTTGCACAAAGCAATGATGCTACATTTTAGGCTCGTGAAGCAAACAAAGCTGTACAATAGGCACAGGGAAAATGAGAAACAATACAAACGAGACCATAATAATTATTTTTAAATACCAAACGCTTCTTTAATGGAATTGCGGACCCTGAATACTGAAAAAATTGATTTGTTAGTCACCAAATCATTATATACTTACACCATTTGATAATTTTGTTTACTTTTTAAAGTGTACTTTGGTGCAGAATGTGAAACAACTTAAATTTATGTTACTCATTGGTTTATTCGGTAAAGCCACATATGTAGAAATACAATAAAATTATATTAAAACAAAAAACAATCACGACGTTTCGATCACAACGCAAGCGATCTTCATCAGGTGTCAAGAACAAATCACGGAGGTAAATACAACAAAAAGATGAGAGACGAGAATTCAACAAACCTGAAAAAACATTATGTGAAGCACATCCAGTCAGGCCAACAACACAGACACTTCCTGGTGGACCACAAATTTCAGAAGAGTGTTAAATTTCGTGTTCAACCTTTGGATTGCACATACTAGCATAGATAGAATGAAAAATACGAGGTACACGGTCAGTAGAAATACATATACAAGTCCACCAAGAGGTAAGGAGGGAGGAAAGACGGACAGGGAGGCAGAGAGAGAGAGAGAGGGGGCAGCTCAAAAAAGGACCACCTCTTGTAAATACAAAACGGCAGCTCAAAAAATGACCACCTCTTGCAAATACAAAACGGCAGCTCAAAAAAGGGCACATCTTACACATAATTACAACGGTAACTTCACCGTAGAAGTGTGATAATAAAGTATTAAAGCTTTCGTGACTGCATAAAATTACTCATTGGTTTTTTCGGTAAAGTCACGTATGTAGAAATACAATAAAATTATATTAAAACAATCACGACGTTTCGATCACAACACAAGTGTGATTTGTTCTTGACACCTGATGACGATCGCTTGTGTTGTGATCGAAAGGTCGTGATTGTTTTTTGTTTTAATATAATTTCATTGTATTTCTACATACGTGACCTTACCGAAAAGAACCAATGAGTAATTTTATGCAGTCACGAAAGCTTTAATACTTTATTAAATTCATGTTGTCTCCAAATTGAGTTTTTTTATTATTGTGCTCTAACTGGGCAACTGCATGTCTGGTGCTTTTTTGACATTCAGATTCATTTGCGAGCTACAGTCAGTCTCTACTTGGCTCAGAGGCGAGGCTATTAGAGTTGCACTCGTTTAGTTTTATATCAATTGCCTTGTGTAGACGCATCTATTGGCTATGCTCTGGCTATAGTTGACGATAATTTCCCGACTGAATTGAAATACGAATGATCGCGACATGTATCAGCCGTCGCTTTGTTTTGACTAAATATTTACTTATTTCTTAGTTTTTTTCGGTAAAGTCACGTTGGAGGGAAACAACAAAATAATAAAATATATATAAAACAATAAAAAAATTCTCACGACGTTTCGACCATAACTCAAACGGTCATCTTCAGGTGTGTTGGTTTGCATAAATGTATTTTTAAACGGCGCATTTATTTATTTATAAAAATAAATTTATTTCTAAACGGCGCATTTATTTATAAAAAAAATACATTTATAAAAATAAATAAATGCGCCATTTAAAAAAAATGTATGCAAACCAACACACCTGAAGATGACCGTTTGAGTTATGGTCGAAACGTCGTGAGAATTTTTTTTATTGTTTTATATATATTTTATTATTTTGTTGTTTCCCTTCAACGTGACTTTACCGAAAAAACTAAGAATATGAATTACTGCAGTCACGAAAGCTTTAAATCAAAATTTAAATATTTACTTGTGATGGCCATTAAATTAACATGAATATGACATGTTTGTTCATGTAGTTGTCATACTTTTTATACACATTACACTTCATATTTCTTACATTTTTATTCTTGGTTCGTTCGGTAAAGTCACGTTGAAGGGAAACAATAAAATAATAAAATATATATAAAACAAAATTCTCACGACGTTTCGACTGTAACACAAACAGTCATCATCAGGTGTGAAAACCAACGGCAAGAAACATTTGAAAGAAATGGCAGTTTATTTATTTATTTATTTTAAACGTTAGCACCACGGACAGCGATTTGACAGTTTGTTTTAAGGACGAGTCCATCTATGTTCGGAAAAGAGGAGGGGGGAGACGAAAAATTAATGTATGCTGTCTGAAAGCCACCGTAAGCGTGAACAATCAATTAAGACCCGAAATTGTTTATCAAATCCTTCCAATGATTGCTAAGCCAGATTTCATCTTCTCGGTTGAAATTGTCTCTGTGTTTGTATATGTGGATAGCCTCATGAACGAATCTCTCATGGTAGCCCGATGGCTTGCAAAGAACTTCTGTCTTGGAGAAGTCAATGTCATGTGAGCCTACTAATATTAAAATACAAAAGAGACCTGATGGTTCAATGAACCACTCTGTCTACAGGAAAGCTACCCATACGGATGCTTATCTGAAACCGGATTCCCACCACCATCCATCACAGAAGAATTCTCTCATCAATACTCTGTACCATAGAGCCCAATGCATATCTGACCAGGAACACATAGGCAGTGAACTCAAGCACGTACACCAAGCTCTTAAGGCTAATGGTTACTCCGACTATACAATCTGCAAAGCTATCACTCACACCATGAAGAAGGACCCTCTTGAGGAGCCTTTCAAAACCATCACTTTACCCTACATTGCGGGGATCACAAAAAAGATCTCCAAAATCTTGAATAAACACAAGATCCAGGTCCGTTTCAACACATTACATAACATCCGTGATCTGGTTCCGTCAGTAAAAGATGTGATTCTGGACATACAGTACCCTGGTGTCTACAAACTAGGTTGCCTCTGTGGTAGTAGTTACATTGGAGAAACCAAACAACATGTCTCGGACCGCATTCGTGAACACAAAGCAGACCTTAAACACGGTAGGACCAACACCTCGGCCGTGGCAGATCACTGTTATAATTCAGTAGGCTCACATGACATTGACTTCTCCAAGACAGAGGTTCTTTGCAAGCCATCGGGCTACCATGAGAGATTCGTTCATGAGGCTATCCACATATACAAACACAGAGACAATTTCAACCAAGAAGATGGATTCTGGCTTAGCAATCATTGGAAGGATTTGATAAACCATTTCTGGTCTTAATTGTTCACGTTTACGGTGGCTTTCAGACAGCATACATTAATTTTTCGTCTCCCCCCTCCTCTTTTCCGAACATAGATGGACTCTTGATTTAAAGCTTTCGTGACTGCAGTAATTCATATTCAACGTGACTTTACCGAAAAAACTAAGAATATAGATGGACTCGTCCTTATAAACAAACTGTCAAATCGCTGTCCGTGGTGCGAACGTTTACAAATAAATAAACACAAACCTCCACTTCTTTCAAATGTTTCTTGCCGTTGGTTTTCACACCTGATGATGACTGTTTGTGTTACAGTCGAAACGTCGTGAGAATTTTATTGTTTTATATATTTTATTATTTTATTGTTTCCCTTCAACGTGACTTACCGAAAGAACCAAGAATATGAATTACTGCAGTCACGAAAGCTTTAAATCAAAATTTACTTACATTTTTATCATACTTGTGTTGGGTAATGCTTATTTAGTTTTCAAATCTATTGAATGATGGCGAAGGTATTATTGTTCTTTCATCATATATGCTTAAGTGTAGATTGATTTCATGTTTGTTTTGCTCGTCATAATACTGGGTTGCTGAGCAAGCAATATTTGTGACTTGACAACCATTCATAACCTGGCTTAAGAATCCTGTTCCCCACCCCCGTTTCTCTACCCAGACACACTGACGGTACCTCGGTGGTCTCCCCAGAATGCACGCAGGGACTTTGGAAACTCAATAAAACACAGGTTTGCAGTCTCTCTATGTAGATAGTTAAATCATCTTTGGTTTTTTCGGTAAGTCACGTATAAATAAGAAATTATAAAATAACATAATACGCTATTATGTTATTTTATTATTTCTTATTTATACGTGACTTTACCGAAAAAAACAAAGATTAATTCCTGCAGTCACGAAAGCTTCGAACCAAGTTTATAGTGAAATAACTTCCGCTGTTTTAACATGTTTTTAACCAAACCCAATTTCTCCTTGATCTAGATTGGTTAAAAAAAATCCAGCAGTAAGATTTAATACAGGTTATAACCTCCCTGTATGTTTATTTTTGGCTCATTGCTAAAGGAGCAAAAAATATTGTGTATCTTCTCCATTACAATTATTTGAAAACTTTCCGCACTTCCGATTAGTACGGCTGGCTACGTTCGCTGTGAAGGAAGTTCAACAACAACAGGTTCAACATGTGTTGGTAATACTGTAGAAATGCTCTGCTATCTAGGTCGACTGGTAAATGCTGCATTTGTTTGCATTTCTTGGTAGATTTTCGACCAAATACTGGATGTCACAGACCTGCATGGTGTGTGCGAAGGGAATGCTGTTTGGCGTTAAATGTAAAAACTGCAAGTGAGTGGAACGATTTTAATCGCAGCAGAACATGTTAATTTACTTTACATACATCCATACATATGGTTTCATATTTTACGTGAGGTAATGTTTCGACTTGTGGAGAAGGTTTGTGTTGTTTCCGAAGCCGCGGGTACATAAAGGGGGGGAGGTAGAGCGCTCAAACTTTAACACGCGTGTAGAAATTATACTGTGTAAATGTTTCTTCAGGTAAACATTTTAATACATCATGTTTTGTATGGAATTCACTTCTTTGATGTTTTGACAAGTTCTAAAACATAAAACTGGATTTCATGAACATTTTGGAGATGAAATCAGTAAAAATCTAAAAACGCATCCACATTTTTGTTTGGCTCAGTAATACGTTCATATATTCTTCGCATTATATTGTATGACACAGTGGAAACTTTCACTGTACATATGGATACCATGTATAAGCACAGTTATGGTATAAGAAACACATTCTTACATTCCACTGATAGGTGAAGGAAAAAGGCAACTTCTGATGCAAGCACGCTTGGCCTTGTTCCCAAGGGGGGGAGGGGGGGGGGGCACTTATATCCAAAGTCGGCTTTTTCTGAATATATTCAAGAATGTTGTGGTTCATATTCTTAGTTCTTTCGGTAAAGTCGCGTTGAAGGGAAACAACAAAATAATAAAATATATATAAAACAATAAAAATTCTCACGACGTTTCAACCATAACACAAACGGTCGTCTTCAGGTGTGTTGGTATGCATAAATGCATAAATGCAAACCAACACACCTGAAGACGACCGTTTGTGTTATGGTCGAAACGTCGTGAGAATTTTTATTGTTTTATATATATTTTATTATTTTGTTGTTTCCCTTCAACGTGACTTTACCGAAAGAACTAAGAATATGAATTACTGCAGTCACGTAAGCTTTAAATCAAAATTTAATGTTGTGGTTGTCGCAGTTTCCCTTCCCTATTTTTGGTTTGGTCAAAATAAAAATGTGGGATTTGTCAAACAGTTATTTACAATCCACGTTCCTACTAAACAATTTTAATCAAATCCTGTTTGTTTGTTTTTTTTAATGCAGGTTAAAATGCCATAACAAGTGCACAAAGGAGGCGCCTCCGTGTCGTCTGCTATTTATACGCCGTAAGTGAGAGGCTTTCTGGAACTCTACAGGTCGAAAAACAAATACAGTAGTCGTAAAAGCACTTTGTAAAAACCGTAAGATGAACAAACGTAAATCCCTTTAGCTTTGGCGGTGGTGCGGCACGCGATTGTAATCCAGCACTGGCGAGGCGAGGCTTGGTGGATCGACGCACAAATGTAAAACTCTCTTCCCATGTGGCGTCGAGGGTGCCCATACCCCTACTCAATTGTAAATGTTATTGGTTTACTCGCCTTCGAACCGATGTGCTGAAGTAATAGCTGATTGGCACGTTTTGTTCAGTGACAAACCTTAATAATTAGCTCCGTCGGATGGTGGTGGATTAATGACACATTTACGCGATCTAACCCAAAAACCTTTATTACGAACTTGGTGGTCAGAAAAAGGAGATGCAGCAAAGCGCAGACGAATATCATCTTTGCTTTCTGTATTGGTGCCCTGTGCTGACCTGACAGCCATTTTGTTGACAATGCAATCGCTCACTTGTCCCATAAGCATATCATGATTAGAATAATGTTTAGTTTTATAGAGTGTTCATGCACATTTCATCTCACAGAGATACAATTTTAGTTTTGACCCCTCGTGTGCCTGGTTTTTCTCCAGGTGCTCTGGTTTTCTTCTACATATATCAACACTCATTAATTTGCTGAAAACATCTTAATATCTAGAGAACTGAAGAGTTTGGGGATTTGTTGGCACTGGTTCACCACATGGTTTCCTTTCAGCTTGGCTGTGGGTTCTCAGCAATTGTGAGATGCAATTTGCATGAATGATGCTGCTGTATAAAACAAAACATTGTTTTAGGCTTATTGCACAACTGAATATCGCACCATCGACAAAATGGCTGCATTAGGTCAGCACAGGGCTAATGGTCCTTTGTTATCAGCGCCAGATAATCCTTAGCAACCAGGGCAAGTTTTTTTGTTCAATGTTTCCATGATAAACTGTCTCTTGACTTATTTTACATTAGCTTGCAGTGTGCAGGGTTTTTATTTTAGCGTTGCTTTGCGATTGGTTTGTAGTCAGCCAATATGTAAAAGGTTTGATTTCTTTTTTTAAACCAGTTTTAATCAATAAATATAGCAAATCTTTTAAATATAGTTTCCCAAAGCACATTCATTGCCGTGATTTACCACAGCAGCAAAAACACCACATTAATTAACCATATTCATTTTATATTGAAACAAATATGACCTTTTTTCTCGTGATGCGTGCAGCGGGTTTAAAGCGCACGGAGTCTGTGCCATGCGACATGAACAACAGACGTCCCCATCGCATGGTTGACTTGCATCAGAGCAAGACGCTGCCCAGAGAGAAGGTACCATTATTCTTTAACATCTCCGACATAAATCTAGGGGAGTCGCCAGTGCCATGTCCTGGCGCGGTAGTTGAAACGATGGGCAAGTTTCTTAAATCATTTCCTCCTTGGTCCACCTCGGCGTATAAATGGGTTCAGGACAGTCGAACAGCACGTTACGTGTAGTGAATACTCCCACCATTTCCTAGACGTCTTGCCAGCATGGAAGAGTAGGCCAGACACCATCTAGAGGAGCCTTTCAGGAGCTATCTCTCTCTCTATTAGAGGCCCTTCCACCAGCAGTGCCATGAGCAAGACATTGCAGCCCAGGCTACACCTTTTACCTTTACTTCAACATTGTAAACTTTTGCTGATGTCATATTAGCCTTATCTGCAGAGTTGAAATTACTTGGTTAGAATGTGTTTTCTGGACAGCTTTGGTGCAGCAAAAAATCAGTGAAAAAAAACTAGCTTTTTCCGTGTATGAAATGTGTGAAGGCAATATCATTTCACAGTCTGAATAAATGCCTTACAACGTTCAAGAAAGTAGCCTAAAGTAATACAGTCGCAGATTAGTCATCGTATATATTTGTAATTTTGATAACGCATCTTTGCATTTAGCTGTATTTCCACGTGTTCTTCAACTTGGTGAATAGGTGTGTCGTGTATTACACAAGGAGTCGGAGGGTAAACTTGAGGCTCCCAGGACCGGACTGCCAAATCTTTGTTCATTTGCATGGTCGTGCATCTTGTTTCCGTTATTTTATGTTAACAGTAACGGGTGCCACAGCAAGGTTACCCACTGCATTTGGCAACTCCATCGATGAACGTAAATATTTTTGCATTTCCACTTTCGTTTTTAAAGCAGGACCAGATTTCGGTGCCTTACCAGCCGGACTCCAGCAGTAACCCATCGAGCACCACCTCATCCACGCCTTCCTCACCGGCTCCACACCTCATCTCCAACCCCCCTAGCGCCACGCCGCCCTCTCCCTGCCTCCACCCGTCACCACAAGCCGTGCGGCACGCCAAACCGCACTTCAACTTCGCCGGTAGCTTCATGCACACGCGCCCATCCGCTCTGCATTGTGCCCTCTAAGCACTCTCGTTTTTTTCCATTCTCCGGTAAATTATCAAAGTATAGGCAAACCGCAACTACTTGAATGTCAGTCATTTGCAGATTTTGTTGTTTGCATTTTTTTTTTTTACTCCAGCAGTGTAAATTATGGTGTTTAAATGACCGCTTGCCATAAATTCCACTCGTGGCTATCACTGTGATCTGTATTCTACTTAACCCCTGCCAACTGCCATGCCTCCCTTTCTGACCACTTTACCATTACTATCATTGTTGCTTTTTATCATCGTGTTTTCGCCTAATTGCCATTGTTGCAGTCCTCTTCTATCCCCAGCCTGTGTTTCGCTTGCCCCTTCTCTCTTACCCCATATCTCACATCCTAAGTGAGGCCACTTGCTTTATTCCAACTGTCTCCCTTGTCTTTCTTTCTCCTTGTCTCTACTCATGTCTCCTGCTTACACCGTGTCTGTATCGCTTATCTGTGTCACACTAATCTCACTCGCCAATTTGCACACATCCATTGAATACTGAGCACATGTTCACCTGCTGATTCGATCCACAGGTGTATGCTAACTCTTTGTTTGTGTCTGTATTTACTGCTGTTGCTCATATCAGCAGCGCACTGCTTTCAACACAAGCAGCAATTTGTTTTCCCAGGTAAGTTAATTTGCAAATCTTTCAAAGGCCTTTTACAGAATATCAATAAATAGAAATTTAGGTTCACATTCTTAGGCATGCAGAGTAAGGCTGGGGTTACACAGCATTGCTGAGTATACATAACAGAACGTAACAGCACCTTCAGCGTCAATTAAGTGATGTCAAGAGGAAGATTAATCGATGAAATGGAGACATTTCCATAACTATGATACAAGACCTGATTTTATGGACAGAAGGAACGAGGCAATACCTGAAATGTTTTTTTCTTTTCAACTCAGAGTTCATGAGAGAAGTCCAAGGCCTAGAAAAGTATAATAAAAGTGTTTTTTTTTTTACGACTGAAGTTGCTGAAACATTTGTGAGAACTATTGATGCCATAATCATAATTTTAATGATAATTGGAATGTATCGCCCATAAAGAAAAAGTGTGTTATTTTGTTGACCTTGTATGTTCTTAGTTTAAATGTAATTTAGGTAAGAATTTGACCCATCCTATGAGCACACGCGCACTACATCACACACCATGTGATCTGAGTTAAGAATCTCCATCGTGGTGGTGAAGATGTTTTATGTGACAATAGGTTATATGACGTTCATAAAAAAAATTCTGTTTTATCACAGCTTTGCGATAACTTAACATTATCATTTGAAATATGCGATATTTTTCACATCACAAAAGTCATGATGCACAGGATTTATGAACAGAACATAAAAATATGCAATTATATCAATGTCACTGAATAACAGCTTAAAAGGTCCATGCCGTTCTTATTTTTCTTTTCACAAGTGTTACCATCCTCCCGTCCACTCGTACACTGATAAATCGTAACAAAGCTGATCTTTTTTGTTTAAATGTTGATAGATGTGTCTCCTGAGATTCACAAGAAAACTCCACAAGTGATCCTTCATCCAGTCAACTCCGATAATGAGTATGTATCCAAAATACTACAACATAATGTTCATCATTTTTGGGCCTTTTTGCTTTGAAACTTTTGTTGGGAACATGGCATTTTTGCATTTGTTTTGTAGGTCAAATGAAAATCAGATTCTACCTCCTTTGCCTGGAAATCTGCCAATCCTTGAGGTATGAGCCGCTTCATTCTTTATCATCCTTTCTCATCTCTGCATCACAAAGTGGCAGGGCTATTATCGGTGTGTAGTGTGAGCTTTAACAATAAAGGGAAGCCCCCCAGTTACAAGCTGAATTATCTGCCACGCTTGCACAGCTTTTTGAATCATTTACAGAATATACAAATTATACATCTGTTGCATTGCAATTACAACATTGTGACATTTTGTAATTTTGCCCACTGTTGTGTTGGCCTGTGTGTCTATAAATATAACTTTTAATTTATCTGTTTGCGTGTTTAGTATTTCTATATAGGGTTTTGCTGCCAGATAGCCTGTGAAAAGAACATGTTGGGGGAAAAAAGAGTGCAGTTTGGCCCTTAAATCCCAATATGTCCAGCAGTTTTGTAGGCGTGAGTGGCTCACAAATAGAAGGTTTGAAAGTTCAAATCCTCGTTGGCGGTTGACTCAGCCCATCATCCCTCTGGTGTTGATTAGTATCACTTTGTGGTGATGTCAGTAGTAATTCTCTTGTGGATAGACTAGTTCCTGCCAAGGGAATTTGGAATTTCCACCACTGATTCAGGGCTGTAAACAGGTGATGAACACCACCTCAAGGCTTACTTGACCATGAAATCACTTTGACTTGACTTGTTTTGATTGAACCGTATGCATTTAAACATTTCCACAAGGTGGCAGTACAGTCTACTCAATGGCTCTTCCATAGGCATAGGCAGGTTGGAGACTGATCCATAAGTTAGTTATAGAATGTAAACGTTTTTGTAAAAAAATATATTTTGTCTTGTTATTTTGTCTGTCTTGCCATAATAAGCCTTCAACTTTCTCTAACTCTCGTGTTTAGCATGAGCCGAATGTAATTTACCGCTGCCCATAAACAGAGCGTTTTTATTAAAATGTATCATAATATATCAGAGCAAGCAATCTGGGAAAAAAACCTTTCCTCGCAGAATATAATTAATTTCAACTTCATTTTCAGGCAGTATCCAGTAGGCGATGTCATTGTGTACATTAAAATTCGTATTTTTTTATGACCAAATCAGCCAGAAGTGAAACAGGGTTAAATCTGGAGAGTGTTTGGACGGGCGACCACCATGAATAAAGTAGGCACTGTAGATTGCTGTGGGGCCATGTTGCCAGCAGAGGTCAGTGCCACAAAATCCATTGTTGTGCTATACCATGCTACAACGTCTATGCTGCCTTCATCCATCCGTACTGACCAGTGTGGTGATGTACGGTCAAATAACCCCATGACTCACATGGTGTTAGGAGACCCTCATCCAGCTGTGAATTGACTCAAGGTGCTGTCCAGTAAAATGTACACAACGTGTGTAACATCCACCGACAATACCTTGAACTTTATGCCCATTAAATTCCGTTATTTTTTTTTATTACATCTTTCACATTTGTACGTGATTTATCGTCGATGGCAATCGTCCGTTTTCTCTGCAACGCGTCTCCGTGAACGTGGCCACTACTGGCAGATTGAGGCGAGTCCTGATCCAGAGCCGCTGTCGGATGAGGAGGATGACCTGGAGGACCTCCCGGACGCCCTGTCGCTCCGCAACCTGCCCCGCAAGCAGAGCCAGACCACCATCTTCCTGCAGGAGTGGGACATTCCTTACGAGCAGCTCGCCGTCGATGAGCTCATCGGCCGTGGACGCTTTGGCAAAGTAAGTCGTATATGGCACCATCATCAGTCATGATCTGAACTAAACTTTAAATTTTTACCAGGTAAGGCCTACTGAGCTGGATAGCTCTTTTTCAGAAGCGACCTGGCCACAAATGATAGCTCACATGAAGTGGCTCATCGCGTGGAATTTTACATCAGCCAAATACTCTAAACACATGTTTATAAATGCGGAGGGAAGAACTGGAGGACCCGGAAAAAAATCCACGTGACCACGGGGAGAACATGCAAACTCCAAATATACAGGTATCAGGGTCGAAATCGAACCCACGACCGCCTGCGTACTAGGCGAGGTAGTTAACATCTCGCCACCGCAGCGCCCCTGGATGGAAACCTGCTCCCTAAGCCTTCACCATCTATCATGGTCCTGCAAAGTAACAATCTACATAGCACCAGCATACAAGTCTTTGGGCGCAACCCTCTCCCATGGCTGTAAACAACTGGGCTTTAGACACTTGTGACTCGTAACAGCAAGGATAATGCCCAGGACTTGAGAAGTGACTTCAGTTACACTGCACCCCACCCCATGTCAAGTGAGGTTGTCACGTCGTGTGCCAAGATTCACATTATGCCTCTCCACCAATGTCTCACCGGTGCTGATGTTTACAAACTGCACCAGTATTCCTTGAAGGCTGAGCTGAGCTTCATAGCTCTTCGGATTCCTCCAGTATAAAACGAGATTCTGAAGATATTTTCACCGATGTTCCGCCGAGTTAGTTGCGAAGTGCGCCAACCACTTCGCTATTGCTCCCCACAGGAAAAGACAAAATTATTTTATACAAAATGTGAATATGGACACATAAATGCATGAATAACCGCAATATAAGACATTTGCTTTTATCACTGTCAGCCTTGGGGTAGATGTTTCACATTCTACGTTTATAACTTTGTGCTCTTTATGCATACAATTACTGTGCAAATGATGACTGTAAATTATTTTACAAGAACTTTTCAGAAACCCATATTAAAGTGGTGATGATGATGATAATAATTGATTTGCAAAGTGCTCATAGTAAATGCATTTACTAATTTCCATCAATGCCTGAATAACGTAAACAAAAACAATCGAATTCCATTTTGGAATGCTAATGTGAGGAATGTCATTAAATACATTACTAACCAATACATGTTTACATGAATATTTGGATGCAATCTTGCCCCATAATTGTTTTACGATTCATTTTTAAAACTACAGTATGTAATAATTGATTTACAATACTCCATTTTTGGCTGCATTAATGTGCAGAATATATATGACACATATACTGTCCTCTACTACATTGTGCTTCCACATCTATGCCTCCCCGCCTTCCTCAACCCGCATTGACCACTGGTGAAGTATGGCCAAGTAAATTCTTCTATGTATTTTGAACTTCTTTCGCCACCGTACATAGCTAACCCTGCCAATTCGGAGGCCCTCATTCAGCAAGCGATTTACAACTTAACCAACAATATTCTCTTACATATAGCAGCAAGGTGTATAGAATCCAGGCCAATCTATGATAACATTGAATATATCTATAACGTGACATGGTTACTTGTGAATTGCAATGGATAACGTAATAGTGGCTGTTGGAAAGTAATCTGATTACTTCACAAAACAATGAAAACAAGTGACATATTATACCATTTCGTCCACATTTTATGTAGGTAAATAACGCATACACTTTCATCATCTTAATTTGTATACGTATATATTCCATATATTTTGTATTATACGTTCAATCTTGACTTAAAGCTTTCGTGACTGCAGGAATTCATATTCTTTGGGTCTTTCGGTAAAGTCACGTAGATAGGTTCAAAGAAAATCACAAAAAACTACGACATTTCGATCGCACCACAAGCAGTCATCATCATCATAATATACGTGTTTTTGTCTTAATCCGGGGCTACCCTTCCCTTCGATTAACCCGGATAATCAGGACTTGACTACATTTTTAAAAAAAGGTCACAAAGCAAACACCGAAACATGCCAACAAGCTGTTGCTGTGCTCTGTCGCAGGTATACCGTGGGCGCTGGCATGGCCAAGTGGCCATCCGCCTCATCGAGATGGAGCGAGACAACGAGGCGTTTGTGAAGCTCTTCAAGCGGGAGGTGATGGGCTACCGGCAGACCCGGCACGAGAACGTGGTGCTGTTCATGGGAGCCTGCATGAACCCCCCACACCTGGCTATTGTCACGAGGTGCGGGACACAAAATGTGTGTGGGGAGGCAGTGGGGGGGGGGGGGGGTTAATCAATTGAGGTCACTTTCACGTAGACGTATTATTTTCGTATTATCTGTTCTGTTGGCATCTATAACATGGGGTTTACATGTGCCAAATGTAAAAGTTAGTTAGGTGCTGAATCACCTTGTACCCACAGGCACAGCCAGAGCCATCTCGAGGGTACTGTGAATCGGGGTGACCGCCCCGGCCCCCACGCTTTCGGGGGCCCCGTGCTTCCACGTCACGGTGTCAGACGTAAAACTTCCAGTTTAGTTTGAAGGCGTCGGAGGGCCCACACAGTGTGATTTGCCCTGGGCCCTGGACCCCACTATGGATGGCCCTGGCGACAGCTGCCACGGGGTGTGCCCTTTCAAGTCTTTGAGATGACACGTGATGTAAAGTGCTGTGAGATGCCCTGGCATATAGGAGGCTAAATCAAACACATAATTAGCAAGATGGTTGTACACAGGTCCTCTTCTGAATCAACAAAATGAACGTGAATGTTAAAAAGAAACTGGGTGTGCCCAACTCTTGTCCTGAAAATGTAAAATACAAGACATTATTTTTCAAAATGTAGCGGATTTATTGAATTGTGAAAATATTTGAAATGATTGTTTTACCTTAGTTTAAGAGTTTGTTGTGTTAAAAGTGCATGCAGAACATTTAATAAAAAATGTTTTTTTACCCAATTGTACCGTAAGCACAATTTTATTTTAAAACTAAACAACAAAATGTGCTACGGTTAATCTTTTTTTAATATATATTCGTGGCAATTATGCTACAGTGGTGGAAGAGCTGCAATGAGATTACATGAAGGGAGTGACAAATTGCCTTTGAAGAGGTGAAGTGACGCAAGGACATGAACTCTGACCGAGGCTTTTTCGCAGCGGCGTTGGCGCCAAATCTCCGCGTGGCTGCCTTCCCCGCTCACAGCCTGTATGCAGTTCCTCGCTCCTCCCGAGTCGATCTCTCTTGGAGAGCGAGCGAACGCTGTGCGACGCGTTTCCACAAGTTGCAATTATTTTGGAAGGTGGTTTCTGAAAATTGCAATGGATATCAGTAATACCAATGCAATCCTTGGGGAAAAATTTAGCCTAACGTCGCGGTGAATAGCCTTGGTTGATCGTGTATATCTCTTTGCGCAAAGGTAAATATATCATCACTCTCAAGTCGTGGCTGTGAGCCACGTGCCTAAAAATAGTATCTTATTGTTGATACTCATTCATTAACCACCATTGTTGGAAATGTCTAATTATTTAACCAATAAGTGGAAAGACTAAAACCAGAAAATTTTCACAACAGTGCTGTGAATAGATTAATCAGCTACTGCTATAAGGGCAATGACATTTAACACGGTGTGTATGCAACGTAATAATGTGCTTCGGTACAGAAACGCAATGCAATGATTTTAATTCACCCACTCCCCACCACCAGTTTGTGTAAAGGAAGGACATTGTACTCTTACGTTCGAGATTCAAAAACCAACCTGGACATAAACAAGATTCGGCAAATTGCGCAAGAGATTGCCAAGGTAAGGTGCATTTGTTGTTGTTGTTGTTTTTTTTCTTCCACTTTTTCCAAGAAGATTTCACTATGGCACGCTACATGGTGACTGACAACTGTTTTGCACACTGGCATTTCCAGGTGGCTACTGAGAGATGGTAACTGGGTGGGAAATTATTATTGCAGCAGTGGATAGATCATGGCTGACTAGGCATGCAATGATTCAGCTGCCTCGCGATTTGAAAAAATTGTCGTCATTTGCATTCTAGAATAAATTATATCATCGGGTTGTTTTACGTCTCTTGTGTTTCGTATGTTCTTGTTGTTTTTCATTGATGTGTAGGTAACAGTGTATATTTTTGTGTAAATAAGTGCTTCTCACACAAAGTGTAATGTATTTTTTGTGAGTGTAGGAATTCATTTTAATCGATGAGTTAAATCGCTGCACGCCTTATGACAATTTTTAATCTAAATTAGCAAGACATTTCATGGACTGAATTTCAAATACCGACAAAGAATAACAACTTGAAATCTTGAACCTTCTTTTCTGATAACTCTAAAGACATTTAGAATTCCATTTGAGATTGATTCCATTTCAAGTGTGTTTTCCTTTTTACAGGGACTCGGGTACTTGCACGCCAAAGGGATTATCCATAAAGATCTTAAGTCCAAGAACATTTTCTATGACAATGGAAAAGTGGTGATAACAGACTTTGGACTCTTCAGTATATCCGGGGTCATGCAGGATGGCAGGTACGTTGTCACGATATAACTTAGCATGATTTGCATCTGCTAAATTATACATCAGACATATCCCTGTGGTCTTCATTACTAAACCTGTTCATATGCCACCAACATATGAATCATTTTACAAAGGCAGTGTATAATGTATTAATGTGTATAAATTAATGCACTTTCATAATAAGTTTAACCACACGTGTTAGCTACGATAGTAACACTTAAGATTCACTCATCCCTGACAATATAATATATTTCCGTGGCGATTGCTTTTATACGTCAGATTTGCTCAACAACATAGAACACTTCACACTATTTAACATTTAAAGTTTCATCACAATCGGCTGCAAGCATCACGATACTAATGATGCCATTCAGAAATAAAGAATGCCTAGTTGACGACGTTGGTGCCACTGCTGTGCTTTGTGAAAACAGGAGGGATAGCGAATTGAAGATCCCGCACGGCTGGCTGTGTTACCTGTCACCAGAGATCATCCGCGTGCTCTCTCCAGCCATCGATGCAGACAAGCTTCCCTTCTCCAAGCCTGCCGATGTCTACGCCTTTGGGTGCGCTCTCCTGAGCTTTGAGGCTGTGTTGATTGCATCCACAGTATTCTAGAGAGATTATCTCAGTCCATTAGCTATCTTAGTCCAGAAATAGCCTGCGTCAGTCTTCATAATTTGACGTGTTATTATGGAACATGTTGATAAGTAAAGCATTTAGAGGCCACTTTGGTGGGGAGACACTGCAGCCTGGTCATGTCTTGTCACATGATTAATAACATACAGCAAATTCAAATCATGGTCCACTAAATGTGCAAACAATGACATCCTAACACTTGATGTAAATGCTCTCGTCTGTTGCAGAACGATTTGGTATGAGCTGCAGGCGCGCGATTGGCCGTTTCATGGGCAGCCCGCAGAGGCTATCATCTGGCAGGTGGGAAATGGGTTGAAGCCAGACCCTACGCCTGTCAGCATGGTGAAGGAGATCTTGGTACGTGACACTTTACACTTGGAGATTTTTTGTTGTTTTTATTATTTATGATGGCTCCTTTACCCAAGAAAGCCAAACCGAGTCTCCAGACCTTTTTTTCAGGGTCGGTCCTGTCAAGTTTATTGCAGTAGGGGGTGATGTTGCTTGTGTAATTGCAATTGAGTGATCTGTCGGTAATTCTTAGCATTGGGACGTTTGTCCAACACGAGTTACATTGTATATTTATTTTTAGCTATGAGGTGAAACCGCAGAACCCAGAGGAAACCCATGCAGAACAGTGAGAAAACATACAAACTCCACACAGAAAGACACCTCAGTTGGGAATCGAACCGAGGTCCTAGTTGCCACTCAACTGCAGCTTTAAGCATTTTACCCCATAGATTTCCTCTGATTTGCCACAGAGGTGTATGGCCGTGCCCAGTCCCTGACCTGTTGGTATGAAATCACCAATTCACATTTCACAAGGAAACGTTCGTGAATGTGATCAATACTTATAATATGGCCATAGCATTTGAGTTTTGTGCTAGTCGCCTGGAAATACATTGGCCAATGTAATCATTTAATGCAGGCACATTGTTAGAAACCTCAGGCTCAATTTGAACCGTGAAATAACTTAACTCGGATGTAAATGCATTTGTCAATTGGTTACTTGCCTGAGTAAAACAGATGTGAGAGAGTCCCTTAAATAGTAAATAATGTAAAACTAAAATGTACGCTCGTGACCTATACTCCCGTTGTATTTTTTGCTCAACATATTATTCAGCACCCATTAACAATACATGAAATTTTGTTTTATCTCTGCAAGAGGTAATTTAAATTGGCAAAACCAGCAGCATGGGTAATTTTGTGAAATCGAAATCCGGACTCCAGTATATGGTGCTGAACCCAGGGTATTGCAAGTCATTACTGGCGGTTATGTTTGGTGGTTGCTAGAGTAACAATTCCCATTATCATGCAAATGTGTAATCCGTGGCTCCAATGTATAGGGTAATTGTATATTTGCATATGTAATATATCATCACATTTAATGTAACTCTTTTTTAAATGTGCAATCGTTGTATGTGATATTATTCTACATATCCTTATAATGCAAGAAATGTGTATTAAACACCATTTGTCAGGCAAAGGTAATTTCATTGTCTGCCTATTAAAAGACTCGTTTATGAAGGTAGGTTCAGCAGAGTTAATGTGTATAAACCCGTGTATGTGTGTGTGTGTTTTTCAGGACATTATCTTGGCATGTTGGTCCAACGACCCAGAGGAGAGACCAACCTTCACGCAGCTGATGGAAATGATTGAAAAACTTCCCAAACTTAATCGCCGCCGCTCGCATCCCTGCCACTTTTGGAAGTCTGCAGAGTGAGTTCTTGACTGTGTGTGTGTGTGTGGACGCAGGCTGTTGAAATGCAATTGCTCGATTGTCACAAATTGTCCTGCCTTTTCACTTGTTTGTTTGACGGCCGACTGAAACTTTTGCACGTGGCAAGCGTAAGAACAGCGGCAAACCATCTTTAAATATTGTCGAGAAATGTTTTGGCTTGCAGCACACTTGCCTCTGACCAAATCATCCAGAATGTACCAAATCCGGTCAGACCTACGAAGCTAAGAACGGTTTGAGCCTGGCAAGCCATTGGATGGTTGACCACTGTGCATAAAACAGGTGCAGTAGGTTTTGTGGAAAGTTGAGGGTTGTGCAGCAATATCCCTCCCCATCTTCAATCTGCACCGACAAGCATGGTGAGGTTTGGTCAAGTAACTTTTGCCGCCTGCATGCCCTCATCTAGCAGTGGATTGATTCACGGACTATTCATATACATGGCACTCTCAGTTTCAAGCACTTTTCTTCATCACGCTGGAAACTAAATTACTTGGGACAACTGTTCTGGTTTGTGCTCTTTTGGCAGGTGAATCCGATTTCTTTTTACTAAAAATAAGCTCTCTGCCACTTGAAATACTCAGCATAATGCAAAGGAATGTACGGTAATTCACTTTTAAATCATGAGCTTTGATGAAGTGACCCGTTGATTCGGCGTGCTGAGGTGGCACTGCTAGGTTGCAAAGCAGGAAGATGTCCATTCATATAAGGATCCGAATATTTATTTATACTGCAGGCGTCCAATGAGCTGTAAATCTCTTTTTCACAGATGTCCAATGGGGGCGGGTCAGAACGTTACTACAACAAATAATACAAATATACGAGAGTAGTACAAAGTATAGGAAAGGTAATAAACTGGGTTCGCAAGTGTAGCACAGTTGGTGGTCTCAGCCACCGATAACTGCACGCACACAAAACTGGTATATTAACTTCGGGTTTTGCACATAAATTGGTTAAATTATTACGTCTGAGAAGAAAAATATATATTTATGTAATTGTGACTTATGTGATGAACACTACTCTCTTACGTGCATAAGAGGTCACGTGAAGAGTGGTTGAGAAGCAGGTCTGTGATATATTCTTCTGACACTGGTAGTGCACCGCTTTGCGACAGCATCTCTCTCATGTTCAAGATATCTCTGGAGACTCGCGCCCCGGAAAGATAAATTCCCACAACCTTGGGAACCACTTACGTCCCAACCTGCTCCAGTTGCCCTTACTGCATATTAGTTGTCTAATAGCCATGTAAAGAGCATTTAGCCATATTTATACTGTACAATGTCACTTCAATTAGAACAACCCAAGTTGAGTCTCATACATAAGCCTCTGAATACTGCTGGAATGCCAACAATCGTACCTTTCAGAATAACGTTATGTTTGTTGTTAATGAATCTCACGAAATGCAGCTTCATGACATTTATATCCTGGAGTTTAATTTTGTTCCCTCCTATCTAATATTTTTGTTTTTTCCATTGCAGATTATAGCATTTCGTTGCTTCAGTAGCAGGTGTCATAGCGATTACTCGAAAAGAACCACAATCGCAAAACTTAATAAATGTGGGAGGTGTGGGGGAAATGTAGAGACATGCATACAAATAACTTACGTGTAACGTGTAAAAAAAACACCCTTGTTTGAAGATACTACTACAACAAAGCGCGTTACTGAAGCATGTGCAAGTATTCCGTTCTGCATCGAGCTGGCAATGCTTTGTCATTATCTTGCATATTCCTTTTTCAATTCCCGTGCTGTTTCTCTCAATGGTGAAACCAAGCGGTTTTTACTGATATCCCTGCACCTCCGCCCACACATTTGTCCTCGCTGTAATTTATGCGTTGGGGTACTTGAGTAACCTCCGAGCTTGTTGAATACTTAGAGCTTAGAGATGAACCAAAAGCTGTGTTGCACCGGGGAAAAGCTCTACTTGCCCAATTATTAAGATTCCACGAGAAGAAACAAATGTTTTCAAGTGAACTGCTCAACTAAAAATATGTTATACACGCATTCATGGCTGTTACAGACTCTGAAAGTACTGCAGGAACAAATAATTGATGAAATCGATGGAAATACAGATTTACTTGTGAACAGCGAAATCCATTTGGTTGAGTTTACGGAGACCATTCGTCCGCACCTTCAAGTACAACACGAGGCTTTCTGTGTGACAGAAAAGCATGATCTGGGTCATGTGTAACAAGGCACAGGGAAATCTGAATCAGTATATGAGCAACAAGCAAGTCGGAACTCCTGAACAACTCGGAATTAACTTGTCCGTTTCACTGGAGAAACCACTACGCTTTTGGAAGAAGACTTGTGGCTCCAAGCACAAGATTGTTGCCATGCAATGCCACAAAATACCACGGAAAGGTTTTAAAATATATATTTCTGTCACAACGCATTTCATTTTCACAAAAAAAATACATGTTTGGCCGTGTGGCCTTTGTGTAGCTGTCAGGTTGACTATTGAGTACAATCGACTAGAGAACACGTCAAAAGCATTCCGTTAACGCAACCTCCGGGGAGATTAATATGCAGAAAGTACAGCTGCTGGCTTAGGAATGACTGGCTTGATTAAAATCCCCAACCATTTCTGCACGGCGAGTTTCAACGTCCGTGTATGTTGACACGAAGCTCGGGCACATGAACTGCGCGTTACACGCACACTGTTTGGCTGAAAAGACTGGTGTTGGAAGGTGATCACTCTTTTAAAAAAACATCGCTTCTGCATCCAAAACTACTGAGGCAGCACATAGTTTATTTTTAACAATGCATTTGTATCACTCGAGAATCATGTTTGTAGCTAGTGCCAAATATCTACACAGACATTGATGCCTTTGACTAGTTTCCACTACATTGCATTTAGTAAAAATATATATACAAAGGTGTAATATTCTATCATGTGTTTGATTTAAGATTTTTCAAAAACGTGCCATTTTTCATTATTGATTGCAGACAAATCGCAGTGGCCAGCCAAATGCTATACATTTTTTTACAAGTGGCTTCCTTTCATGCAAGCGTTCATCATGATTAAAAGCCGTCACAATGGATAGGTATGACTATAGTGGTTTATGCTCTGTTTAAAGAAAAAAATAAAAGTTAATGTAGCAGAGCAATGTTGCACTATAACATAGCAATTGTTACTGTGAAACTGTGTTAAGATCTTGTGTGTGGTGCATGTTAACTGTCCCCTAGGTTATTTCCTTTGCAGTGGTGCAGTGGCATTGTGCAGGAAAAAAAATGTGGCGTTTTGCATTGAGAAAAGATTCTGTACGAGATGCTTGATCCTATAGGGCTGCGATAAAAATCAGCAATATGGAAATGTATTTGAAATGTTATATGAAGTAAAAAAAAGGGTTGGGTGTATGTCTCAGCATAATGATATAGGCTCAAGGCTTGAGTTTAATTTCATGTACAATTAAATTTGTTATTCCAACTTTGAGTGGGACCAAACTATTAGCATGGTTTTGTTTAAATTGCAGAACGAGAACTGCAATGTTAATTTTAAACCGTCTTTTTTTAAAGAAAATCTAAATAGGTGGGGTGCGAGCGGGAGGAAAAATGTAACTAGTGTCGTAGCATAAACTGAATGTGTCTGGGTCACTGCAAAGAAGAGTTGTGTTGTGAACAATTTGTACGTACCATTTGATGGCAAAGACAAGATGTACAATGGCGTATATTTAAAATTGGGTAAACTCGTGTACATTTTGAAAACAACGCGTTTTGTTGGTTGCCATTTTGTTTGTATATAAGACGTGAAAAGTTTCAGTATGGAGCAAATGTGACTTGCTTCTGCATGCAGTTTAAACGGGTCACAGAGATGTCACATACATTTTTCACAATTGAATAAGTGGCCCAAAATTGCTTCCATTTAATTTCAAATCGTTCACTGTTTAAAAAGCACTTCATTGAAATCATGTAATGAATCGAATCCATTTCTTCATATTTACTTAACTATAAATAATTAACAGTGTAATATAACATTCCAGATGCTTACAATTTTTTTTTTAACTGAGATAAACAATATATTACTGAAATTGACGTTATTAGCCGATATTTTTTGTTAACTTTAACCGTACTCTGGTATTCATTTGTGGATCTTAAATGCGTTAACAGCTCGCCTTTCTTAACATTTTCTGTATTTATTTTGTTACTGGAGCTGAGTGTAACTGGGTCCCGTATTTAAACTATCACGTTGCACGTTTTTAATTCTAGCTTGATGCCATGATATTGGCAACTAATGTACTAAGCTGTGAACTTCTATAGGAGTCTTAATTGTGCATTCACATTAGGACAAAGTTGACAGTTTGAGTTGGGGAGGTGTGACTATCTCACCATCTGAATCTTTTACATCAACTGTACATTTTGTATAAAACAAAGTTTATAATATTTTCTATACGTGCGTTGTTTGGTTTACTATATTAAGTTAAGAGATATTTATAGGGTCGTCGTGTCCTTGCATTTGTGTCGCTGCTGTCGTATTTGTTATTTTCAGGTGTGTTTGGTGATGCATTTGATAAATGTTTCCAGCATGTGCCGCTATTGTTATTGAAGCCCTTGTGTTCACTGGACCTGTCATTGTTTACATTAAATAAAGTTTGCATCCGAAATCTTGACCCAACCTTTGCTTCTTGAAAGCTCGAGGCAAGGCAGTTTTTAGCATTCATTATCGGAATTTAACTTCCAACCAATTCACAAACCTTCAAATGTTTGTAAGCATTTGTTTTTACGGACGTAACATTTGTCCAGCTCATCACACCATAATGTATATGATTTAGACTTATTGTTTGATAAGTCATTCGTGGTGACTTTTAAGTTGCGTTCCTGTGCTTTGAATTCAATTTCATCTCAATAGTGATATAACAATGTTATATCTTTTTTCAAGCACAACACCACATTTTGTGTAGATGTAATTTTCTTCGTGCAGAAGAAGCCATTATAAGCCAGTGCCATGTGCAAATTTACAAAATTATCCACAATTATGAAATTGTTTTTGGATGAGCGCTTGCGAGAGATACATGCCCTGAAGCCAGGAAGGTCCTCTCTCGCTCTCTCTGGGTCAGTTCTGCGCAAGGGAAAAAAAAAAACTGGCTTGGACGATACTGATTTTTTTAATTTAAAGCATACATTTATTGAATACTCCCATGTGTTGAATTAGACGGTACCTTTACATTTTCACAAACCATTCGTTTCACTTTGTAATAGAATTTCCAGCAGCAAAAAAAAAGCCTTTTCCACTCATTACCTCCAAACAAACGCATTTATGTTATCTTTGAGCACATATTGCAATTACCCACCCGGTACAACGTAAATGCAATGAAGCGTAGTGATGAACACAACTCTGGGGCATAACTTATCCTTCGCCACAACCAAATTTCACTGCACAAAAGGTTAGTAAACATCGTGAATAACAAATCAAAGCTGGGTGTGACTTGCAGTGTCACCCCCTTTATCGAGTGGCGTCACTGGACGGCTGGCCACTATATAGCCCCCTAGCTGGCGTCCGCTGCAATGCATCGACCGAATGGGTCGCGTGACAAGAACGAGATGCAGTAGCCGAACGACGCGTCCCGACTTTAACTTGGGTGAGTGTTTCGTCGTCACATTCGTGTGTTGCGCTACATCTGTGTTTTGCACGATCTCTTGAGCTTAGCGGGAGACTGAATCGTTTTCCCCACTGAGCTTTTGCTGGAGATATCCTCGATATTTAATATCGTACAGTCCTGTTTTGTAAATCAACTGCTGGATTAGGGCCCCTCCCCCCCCCAACCTTGTGGGCTGAGGAATATTTGACCATACTTCACTCTGTGCGGTGCGGGGTGGGTGGTAGGGATGAAAGAGCTTCCATTTATATTTAACGAACGCTCACTGTGAGCTCATCCATTTACTTTGTTGTTGTTTGATGAATGCCACAATTAAAATCAAATGTCTGTTCACATTTACGACAATATCTAAAGTGCAACTTTAATTGCCACAGCATATGTAAACGCAGTACGCCGAATCTCGTCATTCTAACATTCTGTCCCCTGTCCGTTAGCTCATTAGCGACGGTGAGATATGGATAATTTCCACCAAGCGTCTCATGCTTGAGCGAGCACTTCTGGCTCGCTCACTCTCGAGCCCGTTCTCTTCCCTATCTCGGACCGCTGCTCCGATCCACCTGGGCTTCTTGCCATTCCATAGCTGTCAGCCCTTTATCAGTGCCCTACTTTATTACAGACCAATTCAGACCTTATCGGTCACCCCGTGCCCCTTAAAAATCTCAACGCTCATCCTACAAAGTCCCATCACAAGGGAGAAACGCTAACAAATAGACAAAACATGTGTTTTTTGTTGTTGCCCGTATTGAAACGGCTGTACGCCGTATGGACCTGAAAACTCAATTTCCCTGTACAAGAATACGGGGTAAACCGTCTGGGCTGACACGGTTTGCCATCCCCTACTCCCTGTTTTCTTCCACGTACGTGCGCAACGCTAAGAACGTGGATCTTCCTGCCTGGGCACACCATGACGTGTTCTGAGCCACTGCAAGGTCTTCTTGCCTTGACTTTGTCTGACAAGGTTATTTTTCACTCCGAACCAGTTTTTGTTCAATTTAATTGTCATTCTTCAGCGGTTGTATGTGCGCATAATCCATTGTAGTTTGTACAATCAAATAGGCTTACACTCCTCTGTTCTTCGGGATGCAGCAATTAACGAAGCACTTAATAATGATAGCAATTTAGGAGCTATGATTGTGATATAATAATCTGTGTAGCGTGTAATATGCCGTAATTATAAATATTAGGTTACGTATACGTGTTTCGACCAAACAAATTCCCACTGTGGGTAAAAAAAGTAATTTTATTTCATATTTACCATACAAGCAATAACACGGGATGTTTGCCGTTCATCTCTAGCATAAACTTAGCAGCGATGCAATCGCAATACATTGAATGCGTTTGGACTTTTGTCTCTGTAAAGTATATCATCAGTTGGCATTGTTTATCCGTTGTTGGGCGAAGGAAGGCTTGCCCGTATTTATAAGGAGACCTGATGACCTGAATCCCTGGCCACCATTAACGTCCCTGGTGAGTGATATCTAAATTGGCGCTGGGTCCTGAGCGTTTTACTAGCCCACAGTGACCAACATAGTGAAGTATGGTCAAACGTTTTACTAGCCCACAGTAACCAACATAGTGAAGTATGGTCAAACGTTTTCCTAGCCCACAGTGACCAACATAGTGAAGTATGGTCAAACAAACCCGATTACACACTGAACACGGCGCAGAGAGCCCTTCATCCAGCGATCGATTGGCAAAGCACACTCTGTTGTATAATATTATGTATACATACGTTAGAGATGTACTACCAAGAGAAAACTCGACCATATGTTTTGCTGACGTTAAAATCTCAAGTGCCTCAATACTGGCGCATACGCACATCATATAAGGCATTGCACGCCGGCCGTGTTGTGTAGCATGTTCAAAGCAGGGCAATGACGTTATTTTAAAATTACCGTTGCTAACAATGTTTCACGAGTGGAACTGCTTTGAGTGTGCGTGCTACCTTATATCATTCCATAAAGCCATGGTACGCAATGATGGATTGTTGCACCGTGTAATTTAACGTGAGCTTATTAATGCCCACGAGGACATATTATCCCTTCTCTCCTGCAGTGTACTCGCCACGGGCTCGTGCAAATCACGATAATTACAGATGACCACTACACCGAGGAATATCAAGTGTATCTGTGCGGGTTAATGTGCAGGGAATATTTTAGCGACTGCTTTGAAAACAGCCTAAAGTAAAAAAAAAATCGCATTAAAATTAGCCGCGTTTACTTTCGCTTATCCTCCGACTTGTGTTTGTGAGAGCCGTGAAAAAAATATAATTATAGAGCTTGAGAACAGATTGGTAATTGGAGATGTTTACTTTCATTTCAATAAAAAAAACGTATGGCAGAACTAAAGCAGAGCCATCCCAATTCGTTCCGAGTTGCAAGTAAGCATTGCTAATAAACACTTCCATGCTATCTACACTGCAGGGAGTTGCATTTAACATTTTTTTATTTGATCGAGAAATTGCATGGATATCTGGGGGTGGAGCGGTGGTGCCATGATTCCCAGACTTCGTATGTACCCAGCGACTTGGGTGACATCCCTGGCCACGGGTTTACATCAGTGGCGAATGATGTCAGAACCTAACCTGGACCTCCTACTCACCTTCACCGATCCACACTGAACTGACCAGCGGAGTGCGATGTGGTCAAACAACCCCCATGAATAACACGGCGTGGCAAGGTTTCCATCAAAGGCATGTTAATTATTAAGTGCCATTTTAATCTCCAACAAACTAATATGGCCTATTTCTAAAGGTATGTCTGAACACTTCATAGGTAGGCAATTGTCCATGCCTTTACTACAGATCACTCCTTAAATGAGACGAAAAAATATGGTTATATCCATCCAAATAGTTCCACTCAAGTCATGCGTGTGACTTGTCAATACACCCTTTGTGAGTGTCATTCGCCCGGAATGTAGTGATTATGAAATCCATCCGTTTGATTATTACTTTATATCGTGCATGCTAAAAATCATCAATTATCGATTTGTATCTGAAGTATGTAATTGGTTGTAGTAAATTGCACGGTCCAAAAGAGGCCGAGACATTCACCACGAGAGAAAAAAATACGTATTCTTAAATCGAATCACTACCCCGAATTGTGTCCTTGTGAGTCACACGCAATCCATTTTCATTTGGCAACC